AWWARRAWKKTKRWTTTAGTAATCCCGTTCTACAAAAAATAATTAAGCCACCAAAACGTTTTCGATCRGGCGACTTTGATGATAATACCTTGCCAATCACAGCATTTTGAAGGAGACTGAAATTGGTGTTGCCGAAAAAGAAGACGAGGAAAAGAAACCAGAGGAAGMTCTTGTCTGATCAATTATGGAAATCCCAAGCGACAAAGCACTAAATTTCCCTSCTTCTTATTGCCGTGCGCGTCGYTGTTTCTTTCTACAGTGACATGGATGAATTATCATCCAAGTCATCGACATCGTCGTCTGAGTCGTCTCCATCCTCGCCGTCGCTATTGCCTTCATCCTCTTCTCGATCCAATGCCTCGTCAGAAAGATCGAGGTAGCCATCTACTTCGACCAAGACCCATACAAGCAGGATAGTGGACAAGAAGGCATCTAGACCGCCACATAGAAGGAATACAGGCGACGTGTAAAGGCAAGCCTTGACAAGTCTACCGCGATGTATCATGTTTTCRTCTTGCTGAGCCTTGAGTTTTTGGAACTTTGATTCTAAGCGACGGTTTTTTGACGCGTATCGCTCACTCTCTTCTCGTACCTCTTCAAGGTCGCGAACAAGTTTCACAGCGAGATCTTGAGCTATTTTCTTTTCATCGTCTTCTATTTCCGCAACATCATATCTACAATCTTTTCCAAAACCGCTGTCGGCAATCCCATTCTTGTCTGGAGATACAGCGATACCCCCTTGATTACTTTGTTCTCTCTTTGGTTTCTTCAGAGTCGAAGTAATGGCAACAACTTCTTTTGGAGGGACCATTTTTGATTTCCCGGCGGCAACCCCAGTACCAGTACCATCATCATCACTGTCGTCAGCCACATACTTCACAGCCTCGAGTGATTTGCAGCTTGACACAGATTTCCCTCCCGATCGTGTTAAACTACAGCTCTTCGTTCCCTTACTCTGCGTGTCCCCGGACGAAATACCGGCAACACTAACCTTGGTATGACTACTAGCGACATTGCGTTGATTATTTGAGGCAGTTTTTTTGTCTGTAACAAATCTAGATTCGTATCTGATATCATCTTCAACTTCCGTAAATTGATTCATCTCTTCTTCCTCATCACTATCGTAGAGAGGAGGAAGCAGAGAGTTTGCAGTAGCTACTGACGTCGGCGAGTATCTRTCATCTTGATCTTCGTTACAATTACTTTCTGTATCGATGCTGTTTTTCTTGGTCGTCTGTTTGTCCTGGGTGACTTTATTGCCTTCCGACTTCTTCATCGCCTTCGTTCGTTGCTTTCCGTTATTTCCTTTTGGAAATCGTGCTCCTGCTTTCTTGGTATTCATCACTCGATCACTTGGTGAGGGACGAGTGGCAGATGAAGGCAGAGGAAAAGCAATGTCTGGGAGCGATACAGTCATAGAGTCTACGCTACTATGCGTGCTATTGGAAGATGGAAATGCATTCTCTTTCCCTTGATGCATGCTGCTCTTTCGTTGGTGGTTGTTCGAATTATTCAAAATAGCGTTACACGATTTCTGCAAGCGCTTAATGATGGCCGGCTTCTTTCCCGGCGATTGAATATTCTTCGTGTCGGTGTTCGCGCCTGTTATCTTTGGGCTTGYGGTCGTCTTCGTAGACTCTTCTCGGAAGGATCTAGGTTTCGGCCTRCCCCTCAATCTACTAGTTCTCGGAGATAAAGAAAAGGAGCGGCGAGATAACGAACTTTTCTCGCTCGAGCCGCTCGAGCAGCTCATATCATCGGAGGAATGRACGGTACCAATGCCAATGCCATCCTTGTCGCTCTTGCCGACCAAAGGCAAGGGAAGTCGAATCTTCATGGTGRTATCGTTCGATTTCCGGAAGGGTTATTGTGATACTYGACTGGCAGGCGCTATGMTTAGCTGGACCTACTCTTGCATTAGAGTATTGGCTCTTACATTAAATTTCCCGTTGTGCAATGCTGGCGTCTTGCTGGAGACACAACAATAAGTTCCGATGGATCCCAAAGAAAATTAAGAGTGGAGACCCAAACACGGTGTCAAGTATWATTAACTATGAATGAGAATGATAGCGCACCTCCCTGTCTTTTTGTGGAGTTTCGCAAGAAAAGCAGTCACCGTCGACTACAACTTCAAGCAATTGTGGGGCGATCACGTACCRRAGCKGTGGATGCAACTGTACTACGACATCACCACATGAATTCATGTAGAGAGAATAGCTTTTTCGTTTTTCCTCCAACCAATGAAAATTGTTGATGTTTTTGCAGACCACGATTTTATTGGGCGTCCAAACGGGCATCTCGCATTGACAACGTGGATTCCCGTTAGTACGTGCAGCGAGTAGGGCGAGACAATCGTTGACGCTCGAKAATCATTTTTTATCATTTTCTGTTCACGATATATTCGGGATTCAGTTTCCTCACAACGTTGCGGCAGCATCAAAGAGTAGTGATGATACTTTTCTAATGAAAAGTTTCTAATGAAAAGAACACTTTTACGAATAAATTTACCAACCAGAGACAGTGCAAAAAGGAACACGAAATGAAGATAAAGATGTAATATGACTCTGAAAATTCGCTGTTTACTCCGATGTCTTCAAGTACAACGCGCTAGGCCGAAAAGTTGCACCATAGAGAAGACAGCCAGACGTGAAGGGAAAAAGACTACTGCATTTAGTATTTTTCACSTGACACTTTTGGTTATTTTACCTTAGTTCTGTTAAATTTGGGTTGCTAGAACCCAGCTCTTCGTGCCACATGTATCGTATAGCTAGCACCTACGACGACGACTTCCAAAACGACTACATATGTTTCTCAAGCATCGAAAACCTCAATTTTTGATATGAAACATTTTCAACCACAATCCTTTCATCATGATTCTGAAARGGAGGAAAAATTGAACTCGGTCATCTTCTASTTGTTAGACCGAGTTTTATCGTCTAGGGTTGCGACAAACGACTCAAAAATTGGTGTGCTCCGAAATAGACATCGGCATGGGCATCAATGATGGGTTTCCAGGCGTCTTCTCGTTTTGGATACCCTCCCCCCATACAAATWACCAGTGGTAGTTTCAAATCGTGAGCGAACTCATACACCAGCTCGTTTCGCCGCGTAACCGCCTCCGGGGACAAATCCATGCGCCCGAGCCGATCGGMCTCCAAAACRTCGACGCCTGCTTGAAATATGATCAAATCCAATTTGTGCTTAGAACCTTCCCCGTTGTGTTCTAATCGAAAGCGTTTCAACCAGTGATTCAGTGTCATCAGATAAGCCTGATCTTGGCAGCCAATCGGTAGTTCAATATCGAGATCCGATTCTTGTTTGGGAGAGAAGTAATTCCCCGAACAGTGCATGGAAAAGGTAAAAACTCGATCGGCGTGTTTTTTGTGAAGCGCGGTTTCGTCGGTTGAATCCCCACGCTGAAACAATACGGCATTGCCATTTCCCTGGTGTACGTCCAAATCAATCATCAATATGTTATTCTTGATGACATCGGGATATCGATCCAAAACGACGTTTGCAGCTACGGCCATGTCCGAGAATACACTGAACCCCTCGCCGTAATCGTGAAATGCGTGATGGGTCCCACCAGCTATATGTGCCGCCCAGAAAGGCGCAGACGGTGTGGCACGCTCCKCAGACTTCTCTTCCGTCTTTATTCGCTGTCTTTGTTGTTCGCAGACAAAACAGGCCGCTGCCAGGGTGCCACCGACCGAACTCAGAGCACGGTCCACCCCCTCTTTTGACCAAGGAAAGCCAACGTTGCGCTGTTCTCTTTCTGTTTGGTCGCCCTTCAAAAATCGTTGGATATACGTAGTATCGTGYGTGGTTGATAGCTCATCAAATGTTGCCAGAGGAGAAACTTGAAAATCTAGCGCAAGGGAGTCGGGAGAAAAAATAGATATTTCGATTGTAGTGCAGAGATTTTATGAGATACACACGTAACTCTCAATGCTCTTCTTTGTGTTTAGTTGGAAAACACAACATACTTCTTCGCACAAACTCTGCAGGGTGACTCATTTCCAAGCCAAATAGAATAGTTTTTKGGAATACAATTTCACGCTTTTGCATGGAGCCAATCGTTACTCACCGCAATTCACRCTTTGTTGTTGGTCTTGAGGCAGCTTCGATATCAGGTCTTGCACCCTTTCTCGAACTTTTCTATATTTTCCCATTGGGAATCGATGGCGAGGGGGCAAGGTCACTTCATACACATCGTTGTAGAATACTCTAAAAGACGGAGGTTGATGTGAAACATCCTTGTCGTYTACGGCTTTAGCAGGTGATTCGGCAATAGAGTCACGATCGAAAGAAGAAGTACTAAAGGCAACTKTATATCTGCTTCCAAAATGGTGTATATGGTTGCTGATTTGTGGGTTTGGGCTGTGAAAATATTTTCTTCGTTGTCGTAGTCTATTCTGACGATAAAATATTCCATTTTCGGGTTCAGAGCGGCATGAGAACAACCGACAGCAATTACCGTGGTAATCAAGGATATTATTCGTCGCCAAGGGTTCTATTTGAAAGCCAGAAGAAGAAATTCTTGATTTGGCTACAAATGCGGCAGGTCGGCGAATGCGGAAGTGGGACGGYTGCCAATGATGATTGAGCGATGATAGAGACGATGAAATACCACAGAATGCGGCAGGGAGATTGTAAAGCTTCATCTTGTCGTTTGTTGGAGTCCGATGGTTTGGATTCTTATTTTGGGTTAAGTCGCCTTTCTAGTCTCATCGCAGAAGTCAACTGAAATGTCGATACTGTAAACTTTATTTCGGGGTTATTGGAGACTTTTTGGAATGGTTGCTGTAGAATCAGGTTTTATGAAATATCGTTGCGACTCTACCCCGTTTCCACACTTCWCGTCATCAGTTGCTTCCATTATGATTTCTTGATGGCCCGTTCCAATTCAAATTCAAACTTCACGTCATCGAAAACAGAAATAAAGTAAGAAAATAAGGATGAATCAGAAATTATCTTAACGCGCCATCCAATCAAATAATAAGCCCCACCGTGTATAGTATCGTAATATTTAAAGGAGTTGCGACAACCACCGCACCATCCATCRTCAATCATTCATCTGATTTGCAAACTCAACAACTACCATTCTTTCAAAATCATGATGACAAAGAATAATTCTACGCCTTCTAAATCATTCGGATCCATCGATTGTGTTGTAGCAACATCGCCACAAGCAACCTGAATCTTTTACATTGTGTTAATACGGAATATAACGTTGGAYGATATCTGCCTCGCACTCCGACTAGCTAGATGCAAGGATGACGGAATGAAAAGAGCATTACAATCCTCATCGTTATCAACTCACCGTACGCAACGTCTACAAAACTTATACAAGGCAAATACTATTTTTCGAAGACAATCRAGGATAGTRTCTTCAGACACGACGGCTTTCTCATCCGAAACTCTCGGTAGTTGTACTTGGYGTCAATCGACCTCAGAGATGGTTTTAATTGGCAATGAATCGACGTCGCGATCGCTGMCGCCGAGAGGCCGAACCCCACCAGAAGTCGTTGTCTCGGGAATTCTATTTTCGCGCTCTGTTCGATCTTCATTTGCCTCGTTCACGGTGGCACCTATGTCGTCAACCAATAATTCCTCTACGATAGAGCACACACAGTCGCAAGAGAATTCTCCGTTTTTAGTTCGACTTCAATTCATGGACAATATCCAGGAATTGCGATCCTTCTGTCGGAAACAGTACAAAATCGGTGACAGGATTGACTTTCTACGGAGTGATMAGGGACGGTGGGAAAAATCATCGTCATCTAAAATGGAAACAACAGATAGATCGTTATATGGCAACACTGAAAATCTGGGTATGGTCAGAGAAAGCTGGAGCCAAAAACCCCGGTGGGTCGTCGACTTGTTCTCCGCATCAGAAGCTAGTACATTCGTAGCACTTCGTGAATCTCGTGTTTGGAACATGAAAGATTGCCAACAATATCAAATCAGATACATACCAAAGAAAAAGCAACAACAAAAACAAGGAACTTCAAAATCACGAAAGAGTGATAAGGAAAACAAAAGCGAAGATAGCAGTGCGTCAAAATCAGCTTCTTCGTTTCTSAAGGACAACGATAATAATAGTCGCAATGACAGTCATCATGGAGGAGGAAAGGAAAAGCGATTGCAAGCTCAAGAATTAATCAACTTTTTTATGAGTGTTATCCGAAGCAAAATAGTAGCTAATAGAGAGGAGCTTGGTAAGAATGGTGACGATTTAGTGATGTCGTCACAACGAGGCGACATCGAACAACGTGTTCGAGATTGGTTCAATCGAGGTGATGGAGTTCTGGACGTCGCGGGAGGTTGTGGCCACGTTTCTATGGCATTAGGAATGAATGGAATTTTGAGCACGGTCGTTGACGCCCGATCTAGCGTTGGTAAACTTCCAGGACGAGATAGAAAAATATGGAAACGACGTCTGATGAATAAGCCTACGAGGCAAAGAAGAGCGAGACAAGTCCCGAACGGAGAGTTGCCCAAACCAATCACACTTGTGGRATTCGAGTATTGCAAACCCGTTGTTGAAGAACCACTAGCGGTCCCGTTTAAAAGCCAACAAGCTTGGTTTGGTTCCAAACCGGATGGCTATGATGCTAGTTTCCGTCATCCCGAAGAGGAAGATATCCCCCTCATGATTGCAACGGCCATTCCGAATCATGACATCGAAGATCACGACCAACGATGCAGTTTAGAGAATATAGATTCTTCCAACCGTTTGGATGGCGATACATTTAGTACTCAAAAGATCGAAGGCTCGATGTCACAACCACCATCACCCTCTATGACGCTACGTCGACAGGCATCAGCATTGGTAGCACTGCACCCTGATGAGGCCACAGGTGAAATCGTTCAACAGGCCGTCAAGCATCGCATTCCATTCGTCGTGGTACCATGCTGTGTCTTTGCCCGTTTATTTCCTCATCGAAAAACCAAAAATGGACGGGGCGTTAGCASCTACGAGGACTTACTGGACTTTTTGCAAGAACAAGACCCAAGCATACAGCGCACCAAACTTTCCTTTGGAGGCAAAAATCATGCTTTATGGAGCACGTTTCCCGATGGATGATAGAAGCGAGAAAAGCGTTCATATCTTCATTGCTAACTCGCGAACGCATTATTGAAATTAGGCGACGATGGAATTCATCGRATATATTAGTACTGTTTAAAGCTGGAAACGATGCTCATATTGAGTTAGAAGATAATTTTCTATTACTTAAAATTACATCGAACAAATTTGGAAATCTGAGTTGCAGATCCCGAATCCAATGGATCAAACGATCAAAAAGATATTGCGTCCACTGTTCTCAATTCTACGGAAGGAGGCGGCTCAAGACTCTCTTCGAAATAAAGTTCTTTCCATCTTTATCGTAACGGCTCCTGCGTTCACCCGTTGAAAATTCTGTACGATTGTAGTTTTCTATCAATTCCTGCGAGCGACCAAGTTCGAATGACGCACCCTCTTCGAGACTCGCAACTATTTTATCTAAAGATAACTGCAATGCACTTTGGTCAGCTTTTGCYCGGTTTGTAGCATCGACAGTAGCTCTGATGGACTCCTGGACGATTGATGCAATTTCTTCAGTCATTATCGTACCCTCGTCATTGATTCGTTCCACCTCGTCTTGATCAACATTTGATGATCCAAACACGGACACTAACCTCGCCTTCATCGAACTGAAAAAAGATGTGTTGGAGTCGTCGAATAGAGAACTTCTAACAATCGAACTCCTCTTATTTGCATCCTCCAAAAGAGCACCTAGGGAATGGGACTTTCTAAGATTCTGTAGCGCTGCTAATCGAGTTGATATCTCATCTGAAAGGCAACCGATCATTGCATCGGCCTGGAACGGTAGAAGTGAGTAAACTTCAAGAAGACGGCGAATTTCATTCGCACTCATATTACCCGACAACCTAATGGTAAGCTCCGCAATAGAATTCAACGTGTGATCTACCAATCTAGAGATTTTTTGTTGCACTGAAATCTTTTCAACATCATCAGTTTCTTTCATGCCATTCCCTTCTTCAACGCTTGGTTGTGGTTGCAATGGCGAATCTTCTCGTTGTGTTTCTTTTTTCTTGGCACTGGTCTTCGTTGCTTCCTTGAGCATTCCAATGGCTTCAGCGAGACTACAAAGATCGTTTCCAGTTGAAATACTCGGTAGTTCCTTGTTTATTCTGTTCAATACTTCAAGYAGAAAGGGTTGCTCATCGGGTGTCATCTTAAGTAATACATATCCTCGAATAAGTCTTGCCAACGCAACTAGATTCAATGACCCGACTCTTATATTTTGCAGTAGTGGTCCAATAGATATCAGACGTGTTTTCTTACTTGAGAGTTYTCCATTTTCAGCTGACACGTATTTTATACCCATCTCGCCTAGCGCCCAGATCAGTGTGCTGAGCTCAGACGAGGATGCTGATGCAATATCAATCGAGGTTCCGTCCTGAATATCATCTTCCAAGATTTCATTCAATACTTTTACGACTTTCCGAGCAAAAAGTCCSGTAATCAATTCTTTCCCATGTTCATCAACATCACTCAAAACCACAGCTTCGCTAAGTCGCACAAGATCATGAATAGAGCATTCCCTCATGAGCCGTGCATTTTTCGATGATAGCAATCGAACAGCAACTCGTGTAAATGTCCATCCTCCTCTTATGTAAGGATGTTTCTTAGATAACCTTTGAAAGCCACATGCCGCTTTGCATAAAGTCGACGGATCAATCATGAGATCTCGTAGTTTCGGACGCTGTGAACGTCCTAAGGGAGCTAATGCCAGATCATCTTCGTCGTCATCATCATTGACAGTTTGTTCAAGTATGGGGAGATTGACTCTCGGCCTTCCAAAAAATGTTGAAAATAGTGGRCTTTCAGCGTGCGATTCGGCCATCGTGACATCAGTAGCAAAGTCGACTCTCTCCCACCGATGTAACGAATGCTCTGCTGCTGCCAAAATTTTTCCAAGAGCCATCGTGTCGAAGGAGTCAAGCATTGACAACCTGGACTCGTTGATCTCGAGATGTGCCCAAGCTATCCTTACCAAGGTTTCAGTTGAGAAAAGTGTCAAATTTTCAGATGCCGTTTTAAGCGCTTCCCGTGTCAAAAAAATGCTGCCCATTTCGTTCCCAGTAGCACCATGTAGTGCTGAGGTATGAGTAGAAGATGTGCATGCAATCGCCCACATAATTCTACCAAGTTCGGGGGGCTGAAAGATTCGTAGTAGTGCGTATTTGGCTGTGCGTTGCAGAGCATGRTCGGCAATCCATCGGGTTATAGATAAAGACGAAGCATCATTATTCTCTCCATCGTATCTTGCAATGGCCCAAGCAAGATTGGAAAGATCGGTGCCCGATAAACCACAGATACTGTCTGGTCCAAGCCTCCACAGAAGTTCTATGATATCGTTGACAATATGCAACCTTAGAGGATCTCTTAGCTCCGTAACTGACCAGGCTATACTAGCCAAGTCGTGAGGACTAAAAATACGGGGACGCTTTTCGCGTATAATATTTGGTACAACAACGTTGCTAGTGACGGAGTTCCCTTCAATCACTGATGTTGGAGCTACCATAACCTCAGTTTCTACTGTAACAGCGTCTTCGTCATCGCATTCCATGGATGCCAATAATTTGGCTGCATCAACAACTTCTACTTCTTGACTATTTGCACTGTTGGTCACGATTGCGCTGTTCTTCATGGCAAAACTCTCTGTTGGGACTGATTCCCTTTCCTCTACGTTTTCTGAAGGACCCGTTGGCGCTGATGATTCGTCGTTTTCTGATGCGAGCAATGCCGCCGCATCTACCACCTCCACCAGAGTAACGTCTTCTTCGTTCGATTCCATCTCAGTTGATGTTTCTTGTTTGGACTGTGGACTTTCATTTTCGTTCTCRAGCAAATCCTCTTTCAGCCATTCCATCAGACGATCATAGGCCGTCTCTCGGAGTGTCAACGCTGTTTCCGATAGAGTTACCTCGTCCTTATCTTTTGGTGATGTGGTGTTGCTTCCATGCAATGCTAATGCCCATAGTATATCGGTGACTTCGACAGGTGATAGCCAATCAAGAAAGGCATCTTTATCGTCAAAGTTACACGATTCTTCAACTACAATTTTCTTGTGATTCTCCAGCGAATCTTCCTCCGCTTCTACAGCCTCGGAATGGGCTAATCTATCGACAACATCACTACTCCCGATGMTTGGATACTTATCCGGTTCATACAGCCCTTCTTGAGCACGACGACGTAAATCAACTGGGTCYTGGCACAGGATAGAACAGCATGCTTCGAACAAGGGGACGCTTTTCATTCCTGTGCATGCCTTCACACATCCAAAAGCCCACATCGCTGAGGCTGCAAACAGATGTTCAAATTTCATGTGAGAGAAAAATCAGAAGATGCCATGTTTTACAAAAAATTCTTACGACAGAATACTCACCAGCATCTTCCGCCAACTCTTCTGCAAGTTCATTTAGACGATCTTCCGGGGTGACTAGTCGTCGATCTTCAGACGGGACGCTGTCTTGGTAATACAAACCGCAGTCTGACGAAAGAATATCGCCTTGACGGAGAAGTTGTAGTCTAGCCAACAAGAGTTCTCGAATCCGCAACGAAAGTGCCAAAAGTAGATCCTTCASCTTTACACCTCCCATAGTGTCAAGGTAATGTGCCCCAAGAATTGCYATGCCCCACGCAGCCCTACATGAATCGCGGATGTTCAAACCCTCGTCAAAATGGACATCCTCTTCGTCCAAAACTTCCTCAATATCTGTTGATATCTCGTCGTTTGATTTATCTATTTGTCGTTGTAAGGATTCCATCTTGCGCTTTTTAATATTGACGCCTGAAATTACGCACTCCACTAATTGTTCGAATCGTCGATCCATAGTCAATTGGGGAGCGGCGGATTCTTGTTTGTTGTTATCATCTCTGCCATCTCCGTTGTCGCTGGATGTACAACCATCTTTYGATGCACTTTTTTGTACTTGYTCGTATCGTTCACAAGCAAAAGCCAACCTCCCAATTATGCACGCCGCAACACCYGGATCTATATCGGATCGTGATGAATGTATTCTGAGGTTCACATCTGGACTTTGTTTGATGGCCGGAACCTTTTTGGCTAGTGAATGGAGAAGCTTTCGAGGATGTGGAATTTTCACTGTTGATGCATCGTCTGCGTCTAGTAAACGTGATGTCTCTTCCTGTAGCTCATATATATATTCCGTTGTCCGGTCGGTGACCATTTGACGCAAAGCCAACGATTCGTCATTTCCGGAGACGCTGGAGCGGCGATCCAGTTCTAATATGATGTCAGATGTATGACGATTCGGTTTTCTRTGTCTCTCTACCAACATCTTATCAGCAGAATCTGTTTCTTCCGTCAGAAGACCTAAGTTTGTTTCTTCTCCTCCTTTGRCTCCWCCTTCGACCTCAATTACTGGCATTTCTTTGATGTTCTCGGTGAACAACTGGGATTCTTTGTCATCACCTCTTCGACTGTCTTCCTGGGTCTCGCTTCCATCATTATCTAAAAGCGATATGTATTSTTCGTCATCGTCATCAGAATCGTTGTGGACGCTCCCTCCCCGAATGCTCAAATATTGTTCATTTCGTGCTGTTTGTGAATGCTTTCCGATGCCGCGTCTTATCCTCCCGAAGATGATCGAAGAGATRGACGTCCCTCTTCCCACAAAGGAGGACTCAGCAATCAATAGATSATCTTGTAGAGACGTGAGGAACAAAACAACAAACATTAACCGAACGCTTCGCATATAAAGGCACAGTAGCATCCTTTCTAAGTTTTTTTGTGTGGATGTGGATTGGATACCGCTTGTGTGTTTTGCCAATGATCTTCTTCAGATTGAAGATASTCGTACTTTCGACTTGTTCATTTCGTTCGCCCTGCCGCTGCAGWTGTGCCGCTCGTCGTTCATGCGGAAGCTGAGACCATCGAATACTTCCCGAATGAGGTCGAGTGTTAACAGATGAGGTGATGGAAATATCTTTGGTGGAAATTTTTGTTCAAAAAGGCCGTAAATTTATGGAACGCTTTTTTGGAATTTCTGAAAAATACTGTGGAACGAAAAGGTTCTGATTGGATGCTTTTGAACGAAAAAAGCTTACACGTGTGAAATGATTTTTTATTTTGCTCCGATGAAGAATTAGGTCTTTTGCGGTGCGCAGCCAGGGGAAGTAGAAAGTTGGGTGTACTGTGTTCAATCTTTCATAGTACTAGCATATCAGGAAACTCGTCTCGTGCCACCAACATCTCATTTCCTTAACTTTATATTTTTACAGAAAAAAATCACGTTCAACCTAGTACATGCTTTACATTAAAAATTTGTTGATACCATGTTTTTACATTTTTCTCCCCCTCAAACTCCCTTATTCCAGAAGGACAATTCCAGTCGAATAACGACTATTTTTGTACTTTTTATTCTATTCGACTTCCATGATTATTCTTTGTGAAGATTGGACTTTTCCCTCCGTTGGCATACTCAATTTAAATAGTTTCCTCTACACACCAGGCCGCAAAACGAACCAAAGAGAATTGGTTCTCTTTGTTCACAGTAACAGGAAATGTTCTCATTTTCTCTATTTGATGTAATAATGTCAATATTGCCTGGGCGATATTCACTTTCTGCCTCCTTGGTTAAATACTACTAAGGAGACACAACAAGAACAATAAGAAGAAAGAGAACAATTGAATGACCCAAAGTACTACAATTCTTCATCTCCTCCTCATCATTCTTCTTGTTTCTCCCCTGCCCCTCTTGTTTCTTGCTGTTGCTTTCTTTAACAAAGAGAGCAATAATCTACTACTAGTAGGAAACATTATCTTTCTTTTTACATTCTTGTGAAATGATGAGGGCGTTATCCTAGTTTCTCTATATTGAGGAGGAGACATAGCAGAGAAACTACTAGTACTAAAAGAATACTGCCTGTATTTGTTTCTCTATGTTAAAGCATAGAGAAAAGTAATGGTGGGAAACCTTGATTTTTCTTGACCACTGTCTTAATCAAAAACTGACAGAGGGCCATGATGCTGGCATACAGCAATGGTTCTGTTCAATGGTGCAAACAGCAATTTAAAAAATATTAAATTTATAATTCTTATCCTTGTGAACTAGTAGAAGAAGAGGCACTATGTGGGTCAGGAGGACCAGAACTTCTGGGAGAAGAATGTGCCTACTAGTAGTTGCTCCAAGGGGCAGCATGTCCCACAGAGGAGTGGTGATGGAGGCACAACCAGATAAAAACCTATTTTTTACAAGAATTTCAGACTTGAATGTACACCTGGCTCCATTTGCTTCAGATATTTTTGCAAACTGCTATGCTATCATTGCTACTACTGGTCATGACAGGTCTTCCTACATATAATTCAAGCATTGATTGGGTGTGTCCTTATTAAAGTTTTGGTACAAAACCTGCAACAATGTCAGCATCTGATAAGACAGTTTGTAAGCAGTATGTCTGAAAGCTGACATGTCTCATGTTTCTATATTTTCTAGTTCTGCTGTGAAGCTTTGATTACTACAATGGTGTGATTTGGCAATTTGCCAGGNATGTCTGAAAGCTGACATGTCTCATGTTTCTATATTTTCTAGTTCTGCTGTGAAGCTTTGATTACTACAATGGTGTGATTTGGCAATTTGCCAGGCAATATTTACTTTGTTATATCCTTCTGTGGGACTTCCTTTTCCCAAGTTTTTCCAAATATTGATTTCATGAGGTGAACATGGTCTTACTTTAACCGATATGTTCTAAAATCACCAAAAGCTCATTTCACCATTTTACATTGTCTTGAACCTATGGTTTGCATAGTTTGAAAAATGTGTTGGGCTTTTTCTCTCCAAAGATGTTTTTAAAATTAACAACAGGGCATTTTTTCCACTGGTTTGGGTTAACTCTGAGGGGCAGCACTCCCAAAGGAGTACAAGGCTACTAGCATGCATGTCATGATTAGAAGTAGGATCATTTTCTTGTATTGTTCATTCTTGTTCAACATTGGTGCTCATTTTGATTTTTTGTAAGTACTAATACTAGCAGCAAGAAATGGTACTAGTCTTCTCCTGGCAAATTTGAATGTTATYATTACTAGCTAACTTCTTAGTAATGATGGCCTTGCTGACATTCAATGTCAGCAAGAGATGCACCTCAAAATGCACCATTGACCACAGTCATATCATTGCAATTTTAATGAAGAAAACATGGTAATATGAGAATACTACTAGTAAGGGCAAGAATCTTCTTAGGATACATTGAAATATTTCAGGCTGCTGGTTTATTTCCTTCTCTTGTATCCTGCCTAGTACTATGTGCCATTCGTGAATAGCTGTTACTAAATGATATCTGTATGATGAGAAGAGGATAGAATTTTGTTGAACACCAATTTGGGTAAATTTGTGAATTATTTTGCTGTAGCTTTTGTATGTGTACTACAGCATATACCAACATTACTATGTGGCACTAGTATGCTGTTTTGTTCCTTCTTCTTCTTACTACTACTACTAATAAGACAGAGAATATTTGTTGAACCAGTTCCAACTGGCTTGCTGATTGCATGCTGAGGTTAAGATAGAGGATGGAGTGAACCCAATTTTACAGATTGGGTATGGTTCAAGTCACACCTAAGACAGAGACAAAATTAAGGAAGCATGTCTACTGCAAGAAGTGATACTTGACTGATTGTACACTGCACACTAAGACAAARGGAAAGAAGAAGCTGGGACACAAGATAACACATCAAGGGGACTGCTTAGAACCTGGAAAGAATTTAAGAATTAAACTTGATTAATACAATTTCAAATCTATTATTCATCTCCATGAGATTTCTTCTCATAGTCATCATGATGAGTACTACTAATAGTTGAAATCATTCACAGTACTAGTAGTACTAGCAGATCTTAACCAATGATATGGATTGTTTCYTTTCAATCATCCTTTCTTCATTGTATCAATCACTCTGCCTTCTTCTTCATCTTTCTTTTCTTTTCTTCTTCGGTGGTTCATAAAAAAGTGTTTTTTATCTTGCTCTATTTGCGCTGCAGCAGATCTTTCCAGATTCAAGAAAGCTTTAGCCAAGAGCTTTTGACTTGGTGTGTGTTGCATTTTTTGAGGTTACAATGTCTGAGATGACACTGTTGATGCTTGAAGGGAAGAATCAGTAGAAGACAAAAACAGTTTCATGGAACCACCATGTCACAGAAAATTGTCTTATCTTCAGAGAGTTCCAAGAAAGGCTCATCAATTTGAGGCATATTATCACCAGTTTTGCTTGGACGACAGGGTTCCCTGGCTCAATATTCCTGAGGATTATACTCTGTATCTTCTCCATCTTGTCTAAGACCTCCTTTTCACCAATTCATTTAAAACTCAATCAACTTCAACAACCTCATGTAARATGACAATGAGGTGGCCTTTTGACAGGTGGTCCAGACTATCATCTTTGTCAGCAGATATTTGGTAATAGTTTTGCACAACCTCATTCAATTGATCCAGGATATTCAGAAGAACAGTGAATCATTCTATTGGTTGTATCATGCACATGATTTATATTCTACTAGTGCAGTTACTAGCAGGACATACTTTTAGTGTAATTACAAGTGACACCAGCATTGTGAAATCTTCACAAGGAGCAGGAGAGGGTTGAAAGTTTAGTAGGAGTCATGGCAACAAATATCATGTCTGGTAGTATGGGTTATTGATGCACTTCTTCATCTTTGTTTATGCCCTYTTGTGTGTTTATTAACTTGTGCTGCTACAAGAGCAGCTGCAGAAATACAAGAAACTAAGTAGTACTATTGTTAGTAACTGAACTCATTGAAGTATGTCCTCACATTGCTATTCATCCTCATTATTCCTTTTGTTCTTTTCAACAAGAGAGAAGAAATGATGGCAACTATTAAWTTCCAACATTCATCCTCCCCAGTGAATCACTTAGACTTCTCATAGTTATGATAGCTCATCCTATACCACCAACACACTGAACTTGCCCACAAATGGTGTAATTCTCTCCCTCTTAATGGTGTTGTTAAAGGACCTGCAGGTAAGTTGTGTCAGTAGTGTACAAAGACCACTTCTTGTTTTTTCTTGTTGTTCAGTTCTTGCTGTCAAAAGAAGCCAATAGTGAGCTTATTAACATAGTACTTGCTAAAAAAAGTGATTGCTGCACTTATCCAGTGGTTTCCACCATAGTGAATTTAATGATACCATCATTTTTCCAGTACAAATTCTACAGAGGAGCTCTACTCAGTGTTACTCCCCAACATTTTAAGCATGATTTGCCTTCTAAGAAAGATGCAGAATTGGTGGTTCTGTGTCATGAGAATATTTGAAAATGAAGATTTTGTATGCACTGTGTTCTAATGTGTTACTAGTAATGGCATAATTCTTAAATTAACAATGGGAATCACTTTGTTAGTGCAGTGATCACTTGTTGTGATATTTGTGGTGATGAAATTATATGACTGTAGTATATAGTAAGTGAATCTAAAAAAGAACCATTGAAACCACCCAAATATTGACCTTAATACAGCTGAAGAGGTGCAAACTGTACTATTATTTAGGAATCAAGGTAGTACTTAATATTTTTAAATCATACTTGGACATCAATGTATCTATTTCCTYTACCTGGTACCCCTTCATTCCTAAATGAGTGTACCTATGACCCTTTTTTGCTGTTCTTGATTGAGTATTCCTGTTAGTATGATTATTGCTGTGTAGGGCTGTCTACAATTTGTACCAGAAAACTTAATTTCACAACTATTAATGCTAGTATTGGCTACTTGTTGTAAATCAGGGTACATAAATTACATCAAATAAAATTGTTCCTGTCACTAGTACTAGTAGTACTAGTGGTACTAGTACTTCACTGCTGCTGCTCAGCTATGGAAGCATGCTGCTGACCTCTGACAGCAGCAATGGYTAACATTTCCCACCCCATCATGATGAAATTAGGATCCCAAATGATTGACATTTGTGCCTTGTTACCCATGTAGAGGAGCTTGTAATTATAATTGCATTTGATTCCCAATGATGCTTTGTACAAGCCTGAAACATTCAAAACGCAATATTCATCATCTCCCACTTGCACTCATCAAAAGCTTTCTCAACATTYTCAATCAAATGATCAATATCCTTTGACTGCTTCTTGTATTGAAAACTTCACATTCAATTAAAGAAATCAAGATCCAGAACATAAAATCAGGATTTTGGTGGTTGAGTTGTAAAAGAAAAATCCAGCCTCTGCTAGCTGCAGCTGCCGCAACTGCATCCCCAATACTTGCCTTATGTGCTTTTGTATTCTTGTCTTCCTGAATAATGATCTCAAGATGATCATTGCTATCATTGCTAGTGTTACCTCTTGGCCATTTTTTGTAGATCACAGGCAGAATCTTGTCAAATAGCATCTTCTTGTACACCTCTCAATCTACATTCCTAGGCTTTGTAGTAATAAGAATACCAGCAGGGTGGTCGACAGATTATGCTGAGCTGCTGGTTTCTTCTCAATAAAAGGCCAGATTCCAATCTTACTGTCAAATTAAGCATTTCTCAATATCCCAGTGTTGTGGTCAAGCAGTTGCACTTAAAAATATGACCTTTGTCATGTGATGTTTAGACTTGAATGYCAACTTTGGTTTGCTTTCATCTACCAGTAGGTATGTAGTTTGCTTCAAATTTTTCAAGTAAAACCAACTTCTCATCAATATGAATCCATTGAGGAGCCAGTTGTTGAATAAACCATTATCATCAATATGTTGCATTATCCATTCAACTTCTTTGAGTTTGATTGCAGGAGTTAAGAGAGGCTTTGCTGTTCCATTGTGTTTCTTAATTGCACCACAAATAGAGAGGTTGTTGGAATTCCTATTACTGCTGAAAGAGTATGTAGGTCGCCTTGGTCTTTGTGGGGGGATCTTTAATTCCGTTTGGATCTGATAGTGTTAGTCTAGTTGCTGTGCTGCAATTTAGTAGGAGCAGTACAGTTGTTTGACATATCAGTGCTTGTCATATTTCTTCTTGTTGTGGTTGTTGTGGTTGTTGTGGTTGTTGTGGTTGTTGTGGTTGTTGTGGTTGTTGTGGTTGTGGTTGTTGTTGTTGTTGTTGTTGTTGTTGTTGTTGTTGTTGTTGTTGTTGTTGTTGTCGTTGTTGTTGTTGTTGTTGTCGTTGTTGTCGTTGTTGTCGTTGTTGTCGTTGTTGTTGTCGTTGTCGTGAGTTAAAACAGGCAGCATCAGATTGAGACACAAAGAGAGGAGTACTAGCTATGTTGGTTGATTGTTGGCAAGTCATTGACGCTTCCCCTCTCTTGATGGAGGCAACAGAGGCGCCAAGCGCAAGGTAAGAAGTTGATGGGTCACCTATCAGTGGAAGCAACAGAAGCGCAAGAGCAGACTAGTAGTTGATGGGTGCCCTATCAGTGGAAGCAACAGAGGCTCAAGAGCAAGCCAGGCAATGTAGATTAACAAGTGCATTCCCCCTCTTAGTGGAGTGGAGGCAATGTAGACACAATCCCCCATCAGCAGATGCCAGTGCGCCAATCTGCTGTTAGTGGACATAAGGCAAGGAGTTGTCTACACTTCCACCATTGGAAGAGATGGAGGTGCCAGGCGACTTGTCACAATAGTGCCTCCCCCCTACTACTGCTAGGTGATAAGCAACCAAAACTGAGTCACTCAAGGTGCAAAGAAAGCTTGAAGCACAGGTCTTAGTCAGTTGAATAGAACAAAAGAAGAGTCAAAAATGATATGTGATGAAATCAAGAGTGAAATTATCATGTGAAAATAACATGGGGGAAATTTTTGCACCACTTTTTTTTTAATTTCTCCTTACTCCCTCTCCAGCTCAAAAATCAAAGAACCCACATGAAAGCTGCATGGACCTGAGCATGTTTTTTGGCTTCTTTTTGTGACCCACTTTGACCGCAAAAGAACATTCTTGACAAGTAAGATAAAAAACATCATGATATTGCTCCCACTCTTGCTGACTTTCTTTACCTGTAATTCATGTCCTAAAGTGACTGGTAGAACCCCTTCAACWGGTAGTAGTAGAAAATGAAATCTATGCCAAAACAGGCCTTGTTTTAATAGCTCTATCTTGTTCATTATTACCTTAATAGTTAACAAAACAAATACAACACACTATGATGGATCTGTYWAGTGCAAAAAGAAGCAGCTGAATCGCTCTCTTATTTCAGTGCTAGAGGTGCAGAAGGGGCACTCATTTAGGAAAGGAGGAAATACTTWGTATGCGACAGGCATGACTCAAGTGAAACAGCACAAAAAATGGTTTACAGGGTCAGAGTTATGTTTGCTATAACTAGATAAAAACAATTTTTCATTTTTTTATCCCTGTACATAAGTGAGTYGACAGTGATTTGTTCCAGGCATGCCATGATTGAAAAAGGTTATTTGGATTTGTTGACTCAAACATTGCAGTGAAGCGAAAACTCTTGGCTTGCCATATRACCAAATAAATTCCCTCATTATACTTCCTCTGCATCTGCGTCGATGGCACCATCTCTGTTCAGAATATTTTCATCCACCCACGGAGCCAGAGCGATAGCAGCACCTAAACGAACTGGAACAAAAAGTCGAGCAAYATTGGCACCAGCAAAGATGAATCCCAAGACGGCGGCACGATCTCCTGTCTCGTTGATAACATCCGGCCAATGTCCAGTMGATTGATATAGTGCGGTTGCAGCAACRGGAAAGGCCACAACCCAAAAAGCGAGCTCGGTCAAAACGTAGGCAACGGTTCCCGCGGCACCATATTTTTTCACGTCCGACATCGACAAGCTAGTATCGCCTAGTTGAAATGAGAATGGTTTCGATTCTCCATCTTCTGCAGCAGTATTTCCCCGCTGGTAATATGAAAAAGCAGTGATACCGGGGATACCGAGGACCATTGCTAGTCCAACARCTCCGTTCTCGCTAAATGGTAAATCCAAACCCAAYGATCCGTATTTGACAGCGTAACTCAAGAACAAGGTCGAGACCAATAACTTTGCACCTAGTACAGCATTGGACTCAACTGGTTCCCGAAGCACCAGTGCCTCCCCCGCGATACTATCGACCGCAAGAATTGCTGGGTCGTCTTCCTTTCGGAATGGATTGACCTCGCCGAGGGTCCATCCGTTGGAAAGAGCGATGCGGAAGGCAGCGATCGCGCAGGTGATATTTCCCAAKAGGGTGAAGCCAGCCTGCATATCCACAAGAAATTGGAGACTTGACGGATTGTAAAAGAAGTGATACGTGCAGGCACAAACGCCAGAAGCGTGAAGAGGAAGCATTCCCCAGGTCATGCCCTTCCATTTTTCGTTGCCTGTCACCTCGGCATATTTCCAGACAAGATTCATGGCGACGAGATATTCAATAACYGAGCTAAAATGGATAGCCCACGTYGGAATCGTCAAAGCATTGATTGGTTCCGAGTGTGTTACCCATGGCAAGGATTGCACGGTCGCCGTGTCCAAGTTTCCGATTCCAGCCAWAAAYCCGGTGTGCGCTTCCCAACCAATWRWTCCTGGTCCAAGGGCGCAGCCAGCGGCAAATAGTCCAAAAAKACCCAGTGCTACCAAACGAGGAGTTCCAGCAGGTGTTTGGTTGGGACTGGTCGATGCCTCTTTCAAGCCCCAAACCATCAACAGGTTGGAGACGGTCAACAATAGTTCTGCCCAACCGTGAAGCCAATCGACGTTCGCCAAAGAAGTCTCATAGACACTCTTGGAGACAATTCCAGCAGGAATCGTTGACAACACAAAGAGCAAAATGAACTGAAACCCAAAGTTTGAAATGGCAGGAATCTTATTCGCCCGGAAGGACAGAAAATAAAGGAAAAGCAGGTATGGCAAGAGTGATTGTTGGAAAAAGATACCAGCCAGATTTTGCCCTTGATCYGTGAAGGATGTGAGAAGACTGTTGCTCTCAATCGCGGCATTTACACTAGTGCCAGCATCTGCCATCATATTGGAAGACATCAGTGATGTTACGTCAATCGCCGAATTCACATCAAATGGGACCATATTCAACGAAGCAACATAGCCWTTTGCGCTTCTAGTTAGAGGCGAGGACGGAGCGAAAGCTTCAGCGCCCGAGAGCGTTCCGATGACGACGGCCGCTGCGCAAGTCCAAATTAAGTTTGCCATGTTCTTTTGTTCAATAGCGGATTGTTTATTGGATTGCCGACGAATCCACAAAGTCTCGTCGAGGATGTGTTCAGTGGTTCATGATCCGACGAGCTAGTATTTGATGCACATTAATAAAGATCACGAAAACCACGATATTTTTTTGCTTTACCTACGTACCTTTCCGCGTGGAACAGACGAAAACTTCACTTCAACCGATGCAGTATGTGACTACTACAAATCGAGTCGTGCATTCTTTAGTCGCGATTGTTCAAAGTTCAAATTCTCTAAATACCCTGTCTGTACATTAAGGACTCGTACGAGCACGGTACCGTTTGTACGGAACGGTACGATCAGTATTATCAGTATTATCGTACGGGCCGATACGTACCACATCAGCGAGAATTTTGTGAATGCAATCAAATCAGCGCTCACATCCATCATCACTTCAACTCTGAATGATCCTTGAGCTCCAAATAAACCCCTGTCAAATTCTTCGCGGCTGTCTCCGATTCCTCGTAAATCGRATATCCRTCGAATGGATCACAATTGATACTTCGAAGTAACATCAACTTTTCCCCGATAGACACATCAAACTAGAGATATATCGGATTGTGGCTGAAGCAAGCAAACAAGYAACAATTAGCAACTGCAGAATATTGAGGTGTACAAAATGAAATTTTCACTTGCCGCTCTCGCTTTGGCCTCCTCGGCACCTARTGCTTTAGGATTTTCCCCCGCAACATCAGGACGCAGAAGCTCCTCGGCACTGAGCAGTACCGTTGAGCCCCCCGAACGAGTTGCACCAGATGCAGGATACGTTCCAGAATGGGAAAACCGTCCCGGTCTCACTCCAGAGGAATTTATGAAAAGTGACATGTCAAAACCCGACCTCGCCGGTATGTGGGAATGTCCTTTAACCCGATGGGATTCTGAAGGGTAGGTCGGAAAAGAACACAAGTTTGTGCAYGAAAAGATGAACGAATGGATCAAAGGCGAAGAGAATGGATGACAAAAAAATAGCGGTTCAATGTGTACGCCACTCCTACCTTCATGTGTAGAGCACATAAAAGATCAAGAATTGCTCGTCTTCAGTTCGAAGAACTAACTTTCTTTTRTTTTCCTCTCTCCAAAATACTCACGATCCTCCCAGTATTGACATTGAAGCAGCACAGAAGTTGGCTGCGCAGCAACCCCACTGTCCGCTTGAAATTCGTGCTTCCGCCGAGGACAATGCTGCTGGTGCCAAGTATTTCAGTGATAACAAGGAGATGATTCGTGAAGAACTTCTGAAATATGGGGCYATCTGGTTCCGAGGATTCGATTTGATGAAGTCTGTATCGGGACACAGAGAAATGTATGAAGCAATTGAGTTACAGCCTTGCTTGGATCCCCTCCATTCCTCTGGACTCCGTAAGTTTTCTTCCGAACGTGACGCCCTWTACGAAGAAGTCAACAAACCATCTCTTCGTGGACATTACATTGGTCTCCAYTCCGAATCCACCACCAAGCGCACAGCTGCATACGCAGCTTTCGTTTGCTTTCAAAAAGCAACCGAAGGTGGCGGCCGTTTCTTGGTTGCCGACGGTGCTGCCATTTTGGCTGAACTTGATACCAATCTCTTGAAGAAACTTTACGAGAGAGACCTTCGAATTTCGGTTAGTAATATCGATATTCCCCCCACCTTCCCACAATTTGCACAGGATGGAATCAAGGAAATTGTTGGTGCTACTGTAGCACCAAAATTCGATATGGATTTGGAAATGATGATCGGTGCTGACGGCAAAGAGGGTCGTCTGCAAGCTGTTGAGAAATCCGAATCACCTATCAACAAGCACCCAGTTACCGGTCTTCCAGTTTGGTTTAACAATGCRCACAACCACGCGCGAAAGCTCCGCGATAGACGCCCTTGTGGTGTTCCCGAGGTAGGAATGACTGAAGTCTTTTACGCCGACACGATGGAACCTCTCAGTTTGGAGGACTGCCAAGAAATCAAGCGAGCGAGCGAGAAGCACATCACCGCCTTGGCCATGGAGCCTGGGGATGTTCTTTTGGTCGATAACTACCGTGCCCTTCATGGTCGTGATGTGTTCCAAGGTGATCGGTATCATGCCGTAAGTTGGTTTACATGGGACGACAATGAGGAATGGCGTGGAGACGAACGTCGAATCGTAGAAAAGAACGGATTGAACAAGGTCATCAACGGGATGATGGATTGGCTTCCCAAGGACTTCGAATCCGACCAGAGTTAGAGGATTCGTCATACCCTGTCACGGCACAATGTATTTCAGAACTGTGTAAGTCTCAAGTGCCTCCATAAAAGAGGAGAAGGAAACTCAAATAGAATTACTACATCTCATCCATCCCAAAGTAGGTCTTTCAAAAATTAAATGCATGCCCATGATTTCGACCTGTTAATGTGATTGCTCCTTTTGCTCTAGAACAAGTTTTGATATAATGTTCTCCCTGGCGAAAATATGAATGACATATTTCGCATTATTTACAAGCAATCACGATTTGATGTCAGGAGCGACTTCCTACCACGCTACTATTTCAACTGTTTCCTTAAACTAAATTAATCTGGTCATAAAACTACTTCAAGCCTAAAACAGATTTACTACTGGTACTACAAGAAGAACAACACCAGCAGTTCATGGTGTTAGTACTRCTACTRCTGCTGCTGCTGCTRSTRSTRSTRSTAGTAGTAGYAGYAGTAGYAGYAGTAAAAAATCCCCCTTGCAAATTAGTGGCCCCTTCTTCTCGTCCTTGCTTTGGTGGTCCCTCCTCTCCTGAGATGACATGCTCAGAAAAATTCTCATGCTCAGAAAAATTCTCATTGTAGAATTCATAACCTGTGACAAATCAGCTAAGCTTGTTTTGATTGGCTTTCACATAAGATATGTATGAGTATTGGTGCAAAATAAGATGTGACAGCTTTTTAACAGTACAAAATATACATAGCTCTACGTGTGGAATGATAGTCTTAATTTACACTCTGCACCTCAAGCTCTCACTTAGTTCCACCTGGAACCAAAAGGAACTAGTATTATATATCAAAGAATTTTGTGTTTCCAAGCTCAATTTTTGAGAATTCCAATCAGTGAAACAAAATTGATATCCAGACACTGTTATTGACATGGAATATAATCAAAATCGAAGTCAATTCCAAGAACAGATTTCTCTTAGGTTCTTGTCACTTTGATGATGGAAACTGTTTTGAGAATTGTTTTGATAATTTGGATCAGCAAAAGGAAATCAATTTCCAAACACTGTTATTAACATGGAATAAAATCAAAATCAAAATCAATTCCAAGAACAGATTTCTTTTGAGAATTCAGATCAGCAAAATGAAATGGATTTCTGCACACTGTTATTATCATGGAATAAAATCGAAAACAAAATCAATTCCAAGAACGGATTTCTCTTAGTCACATAAATTGCTCACTACTGGGGCACTAAGGCGCTAACTACTGGAAGCTGCTCTTACACTTCAGCAACTTACCAACTACAAGGTCAGCACCATCAACTAAATCTTTGACTCCCTCCGGTACCTCAATAGGTATATTGGAAGCAAACTCTCTCTTCTTCAGTCAAGCTTGCAATGAACAACAGTACTTGGTGGTTCCTCAATCTATCCCTCTCCCTCATTTATGCATCAGTCTCCCTGATAGTTATCTCATCCTCTTTCAATTTCTGCAGGAAATTCTCATCAGTATAAGTCCAAGAAGCTGATGGGGGGTGGGATCATTTTTCATTAGCTGCTTGTACTGGCACAAAACCTTAAGAGTGGAAACTGGGAGGGACTTTGTATCTTCCTCCTTCTTAACATCTTTTCCCTTGGAACCAAAATTCTCAATCGAACCAAGAGCTTTTCTGTTCAAAGATTCTGCTGTTTTTGCAGCCTTCTTTACTGCCTTAAAGTGCTTAATCTCATCCAATCATCTGCTTCTTTCCTTTGCAATAAAATAGTCCTTTGTGTTCAGTGTATCTCCACCAGTTGCAATAAAGTGTTGGCTAGAATATTTAACACCTGCAATTGCATCTTGCCAAGCCCTGGTATTTGTTTCCGTCACTTGTTGCACCAACTGTTTACTCTTTTGCAGGGCTTACTTACAAAAAAGTTCACCATTGAAACCAGCTTCATTAAAAACTTAAATTGCTGCAGTGTTTCTCTTCTCATGTGCAAGCAGTGTAGCTGTCTTTGGATCTGTGGTGAAATCAATTGATCCATCTTGCAACACAATCAGTTCATGTTAAACTTTTTCATCCTAAAGGCATTTTTGGGTGAATGGTGCAATTTCAATGGTTCTCTAGTATATGTCTTTGCATTGGTCTATCGAAAAAGCCTCATCAAACAAAAAAACCAAAGCCACATCCTCATTCCACCCATTGGGCTTACAAAAAATTATCAGCAGATAATCTGACTGCCAAAGATTATTGTCTTTCATGTGCCGGTGGTGTGCAAGTTTTTCCAGATTATTTTGTTAAAGGGTTTTGAAATAACCATACTAATTATGATCAGTTGGCTGTGTAATATGAGTTGTATTTAGCACCCCTGGATGTAGAAGAAAACCCTGAGCTGCAAGGCTTGCCAAYATTGCTTTGTTGTTTCTTCCTGGCCCACTGTCAACAAGCAACATTGCAAGTTTGCCTGGCAAATCTGCAGCATCTGCATAAAGCTTGACAATTGCATCCAATACATACTTTTCAAACTCTTCATGATCCATTCCTGCATTTATGTTGCAATTCACCGTAGCTCCATTGCTTGYGATACAATCACTGCCATACATGCTGCCTTTTGTGTTTTGAACAATGTTCACAAATATTTCTTGGATACACTTCTTCTCCTCTTTGGTGGCATATGATTTGAATTGGAAGTACAGTGGCAAAGGATAACCAGCAGTGTTGCAACCAGCAACCACAGTGATTTRTGAACTGCTTTTGTTTGTCCAATCAGCACAGCATCCAAAGGCTTCATCTTTTGATCCATAAGCCGTAGATGGCTTCCATTCCCATCAAGTGTTAGGCCAGACTCATCCAGATTAATGATCTGGTT